TCCCAGATGCTGATAAGGACAAGACCATTTCAATTCTCAAAGTGGTCTCCAAAAGCCAGCAAAGGGCCTCGTTTTTCCAAAACGGGGCATCCTGATCCGCAACTGTTGCTACATGAAGCACAGACCCGTAGCCAGGCAGGTGCACTGGGTGCCCACGCACCCCCTGGGATCTGGGGCGGCCCCCCATCCTTGTTTTGTAGAACCCCACAGACCCGTAGCCAGGCAGGTGCACCGGATGCCCGCGCATCCCCTGGGATCTGGGGCGGCTATCCTTGTTTTGTAGGTCCCTGCACTTCAAGTATCACGCTTTCACGACGATTGGATTTTTCATTCACATAAACGCCTTCACGACGGCACTTTCTGAGTTGGGATCTGCGATAATCGTAACGTTACGATTGTACAATGTGCCAAGCTTTTTCATATCTCAAACTCCGTATCATTTGCCGCAGTTGAAGTTTCGAAGGATTACCTCAGCTTTGTTTTTTTGTTGACAGAGGCCTCCTTTCCACCCTGAAGTGTTTTTATTTTCCTGACAGCCAGGCGATAATAAAGTGGTTTGATCTAAAGCAGCAGCGATCGAATACTCGGTCCTGTGGACCTCATTCCATTATGATGGACACTCACATGCCACGTGAAATGTCAGGAGTTGCTCGGCTATCTGGTAAGGCAATCATGGGGAAGAAGACCGCTTCAGCTTCGGCTTCGCCAAGCCGTAGTTTTCTTCAGAAGCTTCGGTTTGACTTGGACATTCCATATTGGCTTTGGCCTCGTGGCATTTTTTAGCAGCTGGTTTCGATTTCGGCTTCAACCAATGCTTGGATTATGAATCTAGCTTAAAAACAGCCCCCCCCCCCCCCTGCTGCCACTCGTGTTTGCTTGACGTTATGCGATTTTGAACAAACTATTGTTTTCGGTATCGTCATGATGAATTTTCTCTGCAACCACGACTTTTCTTCACAAAAACGTGCGTCTCCGCCCTGTCATCCATTTTACCAACCTCGAGACTTTTCGAGGTTGTGAAACATACATGCTTGAAAAACAAAAATCAGTCCGTCATTTGCAGGATCAATTGACGCTTGACGACGGCCGGTAACCATCTGCCCAACATTTGCTATGCGTACTAGCCCACAAGACGAGGTAGACAACTTTTCCAACCGTGATGTTCAACCGGAAATCCAACCTCATCTCAACCACTCCGTAAAACAATTTGAATCTATGAAATATTGAAAATACATTATATATTAATTTCGGGCACGCAAATTGAATCGGCGGAAATCGAGAAAAAATCAGTCTTTGGTTGGGGGGGGGGGGGGGAATGTAAGGTCCTTATCGGCTGAGCCCCAACCGATCTTCGAGAGTGACAGCCGTGGTTAGGAAGATGCTTCAAGTCAGTGCCACGCAATCTTACTGCTTGCTCTTTTTTCGTCCGTAGGAGCTCTATACACATTATTTGTAGTTGCATTATTAAGGAAAAACAGCAAGCTTAGATGCAAGCTTAATTTTAGCTTGATTTTGATGTGTTTAATTTAGTTGAACCCCGATTTCATTAGTGGGGTTCAGTATTCGATTAAACAGGGCTTGTCGCGTGAGCGCTGATCCCACCGGCCGATAGGGGACCATCCGGGATGCGGTAGCGTTATAAACAGTCTGTCTACCCTCTAGCGTACCAGAAAATTAAGCGCGACTGTGACACGTGCTGCAAAGACATCCCAGTCAGCGGCAAGCGGCAGTGCATTAAGTGAC